CAGAGCCAAAGATTGAATTACACACAAAGTAATGGAAGTTGAAATATATTCAAGGGATTTAAAATAAGGTATCCTAGGACTGATGTTTCCTAATTTCTTACTGAACAATATCATGACTACTATGATTTATTTGTTTTACTGAACTGTATAAAATGGCGGCACATTCAATTTCAAGGTCAACCTAGCACTTAATTAACGACGGTGTTACTGTTTATAAAATAAAAAACGCTTGCTAAAAGAATAAAATAAAACAGAGAAATAAAAATTAAGACTGATAAAACAAACTGCATACAATGTATACTGAGATACTTTTTGTATACTGGAGTCGAGTAGCTACACGCAAGCGCATTCTTAGCTATATTGGGTATAATGGAAAAATTGTTTGGAAAACACTTCCTGAACGAACTAATTATACCATTAATACTTACTTGGAGATTTCAACTAACTTTGTAATTATTGCCTGTTGAATTCATCCTTATCATTTATCTTTGTCCTCGTTCAATCTCTAATTTAATGCTTCTCTTTATGGTAGTCCGATACATTGATAATATGTTGTTTTACTATGTGATTTAGTTTGAGTTATTCAAGGTCACAATGACCTTGAAGTTTTGGCGGGAAACATTGGTGTTTGATCCTTATAGACATAATTTTTGATCCCAACTTGTTGGGTTTATTTTTTTAAACTTAAAGTACTTGTTTTGTACTTAGAAGCCTACGTTGACTGAACGGTTACCTAACGGCACTATCGAAGTATGCCAGAGTTATTGATGTTATCATTGTTTAACGGAACCACAAATTTATCGAAGAATATTCGCTTTTTTCGTATCTTAGGGGAGTTTTGAGACCGCGCGTTTCTCAAGAAGGTTATATCATCTAAACAGTAGGTATACGCAGGAATCAAACCACAAAGAATCAGTTTTGGTCCTAACATTAGGAGGAGGCTAACTGTATCCGCCCACGGTTCATAAAAATGTAGTCGTATACAATCAGTTATGTAACCCGTTAAAAGTTTATATTCGTAAAGTGTTTAAAATGTTATGAATCGATAGTTAGAGGTCAAACACTTTATCATAAGATCTGTGATGTCTCTTTAATCAAAAGCCATATTGAAAAATACTTGAACCTGTTTAAATGACTATCAGTTTGTAGACATTGAATGTATACTCATGAAATATGCTTAAATGAGTGCCTACAAACGATGCAAAAGAGCATTGACTTTTTTATTCATATACATAGGCTGATTGTTTTACAAAACAGGGAACACATATACACCCAATTGCAAAGATGCGCACAGAAAAGCATAAAATAAAAGATACATACATAAATAATACTTCTATCGGTCCATTCAACCTCGCCCAGTATAGTAGCTCGTTATTTTTCTAGCCGGTCCCTGTCTACGGGATAGAGGGCTAACGACCCTAACCCAGAGAATCAATCAAACTACTACAAAAACTTCAACACACAACAGAAAGTACAAAACCCAGTTATTCTTCTCTGGAATGAGAGCAACGAAACAATGTGGCTGGTAAAAGCTTTCGAGAAGCCAGTCAACCGATGTATCTTATTTCGATGAAATCAAATATAAGCATGAGAATGTGGAATTTTGATACAGTCTATAAAGCCAGCTGAGAAGGCTGCTCAGGTCGCCAAAGAAATGAAATGTGTCTTAGGAGTGCTAGAAATCCGTAAGAGCAGGTAGAATGGATGAGGACTATCAAAACTGTAACTTACTTTACTTTACTTTACTTCGGCTATCTCCTACGGGAGGATGAGCCGGCTCCATGAACGTCTCGAATCATCGCTGCCCAGGCGCGGCAATTTGTAAGAGAGTTCATGAAGTTTCATGGGAATTTGGTACGAGTGATGTCCCCAGGATCGCTCGGCCTTTTGTTTGAGAGTGCAGCTCTAGCCTTTACACAGCCAAGTGTGACCTACAAGGCAGTAGGAGTGGAGTAGGGAGTCCACTATCTATTGGCAGCCGGTGACCGGAGTTCGGTTCATACGCCTTTTTGAATGGGGCCAGACATCCAGTACATCCAACAAGCCCTTTGTCCATACGTCTGCCGGTGAGCTCCGGTGAGCTTCATACGCCAGTCCTTGGAGGTTTGGAATCAGGGTTTGGCCATCTCCCCTAGACTGTCATCCAATGGACAGTCAACCCGGTGGAGAGCGCCGGGCATCCGCTTTCGCCCTCTCACTTTGGTGAGAAACACCTCCGCCACGTGAAGGCAGTGAGTAGGACTTCCTCAGGAGAGGCTATGTAAGACGCCCGGTCATATAGAGCATTTCGGGAGGTGTGCGGGGGGTGGCCGACCCGCAGCGCAAGGCACCCACCCCCGACCATCCTGAGGCTTTGGAGAGTCAACCACAAGCACACCGAGGCAGTGAGTGGCTATCACGACGTCACCAAGAACCTATCGCTCAACAAATATGCAGAAGAAAATGGAGATCAACTAATCACTCTCTGAGGAGCAGGCTGAATAAGACTGGGCATCAGGCCATCGCTTGAGTCTAACAAAAACTGGTGCGTCCCCGAGGTTGACATGGAGCAGATGAAAGCCTATGAGCAGCAAACATGAAGCCAGCTAGAAGGGAACGCAGAATACAGGGTGAAATAAAGATGTGCTGTCAAAGCTTTATAATTCCCTCGCAACTCAAGGAAAAATATTATTAATCATAATCGGTTCACTCAGGTAGATAACTGGATCGCAATATACTACAGCTGATTAGAATGGCATTAACAATCATAAAAGTTTCAAGTGAAATATGAAGTATCTAATAATTGTCATTGTTTTTCGTTTGCATTTGTAAAACAATTAAAGAGAAGAAATTTACTTCAACTGGGACCTGAGTTATAAATAACTTTGCTGAATTCTCTCCCATAACTTACAGGGCAATAAAAGCAATAGATTTGACTGCTGTCTATGCCATTTTATATGTTCAACAGAGAGAAACAGTCGATCATTAGTTGAAGAAAGAATAAGTGGGGTAATTTTTTCTCTCAAACAGGAGCGCTGAATAACCTCATGGGATTTTGTGCGAGAGTGGGTTATTTTTGAGCAGTCACCGTACTCACTCAAAGGCAGTTGGATATATTAGCAAGATTTCAGCTTCTGAAGAACTACAGTTTTGTCATAAGTCTATATTAGTAATACACACTTTCAGACAGAATATGTCCGCTAGATGTTACACATACTACTGACTGACAAGGTATCTGAAGCCAATTTTCTTCCGTCCAAACATGCCACTATTGGAAAATGTTTGGCAGGAAGAATATGTACCTACTGATTAGAAGAAAGATTACCTTGTGAAACTACAAAAGAAGTGCGACTGACGCCCCTGCAAGAACTAGTGTGGAATAATGTTCTTGTCCAATCCAAGTAAAGTACAAATTCTCATCATCCTGGAGATAATAAAGAGGGCATTAGATGCAGACGTCTGCCGCCTCCATGGAACGGGCTGATTTCAGGTAGGGCAAATCATGTGCTGATCAAGTTACAACTCCTTGCATCATTATCGAACGAAGCATAGAATGCAAGTCAAATATGTACTTTGATTTCATCGATTTCGAAAAGGCCTTCAGCAGACGGTGCTGACCAAGAAGTAATTTAGAAACTGCTTCAACACTATGGCATGTAGTGGCCAAGTCTTTGTCAACTTCATTCAACAGCTGGATATATATGAGAATGGCAAGTGTCAGGTGATCCAAAACGGAGAACTCAGCAAAGCGTTCGAAGTGAATACAGGATTAGGACAAGGCTGTCTATAATTACTGATGGTATTTTCTTAATTTTGGTGAACTGGATTATGCGTCAGACTGTACATGGGGAGCAAAAAGACCGAAGTAGGTTGGATTGACCGATAAGATAACTCTAGATCTGTATTTCGCGTGTGGATGATTTATCTCTGATGCCACATAATCTTGAAGACTTACAGGCGAAAAACAGCAAACTGGCAGTAGAGGTAAGCAACGAAGACAGGAATCCAGGTGATTATAGAGAAGACGAAGGTGATTTAGATAACCAGGGAACAAACAGTGACAGTAACAACAACCAACACCAATCACCATCAACAGGAGAAACTTGAAAGAGATTACCTCCCTCACTTATATACGAAACATCGTTTCAATTAAAGCCAGTGGGATATATGAAGATGTCAAAGCTAACTATGAACAGAAAGGCATCGTAAGCCTAAATCCCTCTAAAACCAGTTTGGAAATCTTCTGCGCACAGCATAAAAAACAACATTGAGGTTTTCAACGCAAACGCTTAGTCAGTCAGGTTTTCTATATTGTTCAGAAACATGATATGCGTTACACGAAAATCACTTCTAACAGCCTATTACAGACTTTCACCAACAGTTACCTTCGCTGGCTACATACTAAGGATCAAATGGCCAGCCAGTCAGGAAGAATCAGCAACAAGAAACTACTGAGACGAACTAATCAAGAATATGTAGGAGATAATGAAGATGGATTAGGCACACTCCACTGAGGAGACCGACACGCATTAGTAAAGCCATTGTTCGAGTGGAACCCTAAAAGGAAATGAAGAGTTGGGCATAGGGCTGAAGGTAGCTACCGGGAGAACATTTGAGCTGTAGGAAATAAAAGACAATGGGCAATTGTGGGCCCAGCTCACGGGGACAGCAGGAAATAGAATAAAGCAGAGACATACTGATGAAGCCCTCTGCTCCCCTGAGAACACGTGGGAACAATAGCAATAATATAATAAGTCAGACAGTAATGCTTTCTAACTCTTTACTAAAGCTCATCAACGATCTAGCCGACTGAACCCAGTTATGAAAGACGCGATGTGCGTGAAACTCATTTTGATTAAACTGTGAATTCTGGCGTTATGCGGAGTTAAATTTCGTCTTTAAGGTTGCTTAGCTTTATTAAGTTTTTCCTTATTGCTGAAACCCAAACCATCCTAACGCAAAATCAGGAAACATTAAGACAGGAATTCATTTGGGATAAAAACAAAACTAAGCTGACCTACCTCCCTGAGCAGCTTTTGTTGGATCAGCCACAGCTGTTGCCGCTGTCGCTGCAGCTAACGCTGCCATTGCTCGAAGAGTTGCAAACTCTTTAGGTCCTTTAATCCCTCCTGGATCTTGTCCAAGATTGCCAGATTTCTTAGATCTCATTGATTCATCGTTACGACCAAATAATCTCCTGAAAAATGATGAAATCCACTGGAGACATGATGTAAAACATGATCTCGAGGATTTATTAATCACTTCATCTTCAAACAAGACAGGTTTCAATGATTTTTCGTTTTGATTTGATGAAATCAACAGTGAATTACGTTGGACACGATCATTTTCAAATGAAAATTGTAATGCATCTTGCATAGTTGGTCTAGGTGTTTGAACTGGGCTTGTAGTTCCAACAGAGGTAGTATCGTAGGCTAAAGGTGCTCTTCCAGCTATACGAAAATGACCTGGACCAAGACTAGTATATGGTCCACGTGAGCCATGACCTGATCGATTAACAGCTGTTATCGTGGCGTTATAGATTAACGGTTGACCTGGAATCAACATATCATGTTCATTGGTTTGTGATGATGAACGTCGACTATGCCTGTTGCGAGAACCTTTCATCACAAGAGAAATAATAACAATATATAAGCAAAATTTACTCATATTTGTCAAGTTTTATATTCTGAACTAAAAAGAAGTTTTCTGTGAAGAGATTTTCTCCATTGCTTACCCAACGTATGCAAAGTATTGGATGGTTGAAGATAGTAGGCAGGAGGCCTTCGACCTAGGTTTCATGCTAGTTGGAACTCATCAGCAAGGCTTATCTGCAACCTTGAATGATGCCATTCCCCTTCTGAAATTTTGAACTTGAGTCATCCAGTGCTGCTATCACAGATGTTACCATCGACCTGTCAAAGCACAAGACTAACTAACCTCCTGTTGGACTGCATAGGATACTTTGATTGGACACTAGCTAGTAACTAGTGCAATGGGTCTTAATCTTTGTTTGGTGCAGACTGAATTCTATCAGCGATCAAGCTTTCTGTGTGTTAAATAAGTATGCGCTGTGTTTTGTTCGAATGATTTTCTAGGTTTTAAGAGTACTAAGACTCGGTTAAGGAGAATTAAATTATCTAACAAATAAATGAATCGTTTCGTTTCAAAGCCTAAGCAATAATTCTCGTCAAAATGACTACAAAATGTCCTGCAGATATACTTCTTAGATGTCTTATTCAAAACGCACTGAATTCTCCTCATGTTTGTTGTCCACTAGTGATGCGATTCTCCTAGTATTTACCTAAATATTGACATAATCTGAAAGAGTTAACCGGGTCAATCGGGGACCCAGCTGAAGTGGACGGCAGAAAACAGAACAACGTGGAGGTGTGTTACTGAAGTCCTGTGTTCCACCCGAAACGCAAGAGAATACTGGTAAAAATAATATAGGGGTAGGATGAATATAATTCGACTATCTTCCCCTGTTACAGAAACACATTAAGAAAAAAAATGTTACTTCTGGTTGACTTATATGAGCAGTCGAATATTGATCACATCAATCAGTAGTGCTCCTTAACCATATTATTGAAGTAAGTTAAACACCAGACAACCATTTCGCTGATTTATGGCTCCCAACCTATCGGTAGTGTATGTGGTTTGACTTAGCTCAAACACCTTAAACCATTTTCTCAATTAGCTAAGTAATCACGTGGCGTGAACTAATTCAGCTGTCGAAGAGAGTCAAACTGTTCACGCCACTGATAAACTTGACACCACACCGGAGAAATGGCCATCCGGCATTTATATCACTTCGATATGGCTACCAAGCACTACTAGTTGATATAATTGGTATATAACTACTGAATTCAGTCAATCAGTAGTATAAGGTCTTATACAAATATGCTTAATTTTCTTGATTATCAGTCATGGTATAAAGCAGGTTACAAATTGTAATCTGAATGACTTTGGTTTCCGAAGAAAACTGTGGGGAAATTCCACCACATCAAACTGTGTAAACTGCCAATTGGGAATTTGTTCTTACAGTTATAAAATATATTTTATTTTTTATTTTTGATTACAGCTTGATTCCACACTGTGTTTTTGGTACAAGTATGGAATTTTCAGCGTGGATATCGGTAGCCCGAAATTCGTAGGCCGACCATAGATATCAGGTGTGCGTCGGCGTGGGCTCGAACCCCGGACCGTCTGCATGGTCGGCGAGAGTCCTAACCACTGTACCACCGACGCACATGTTTATACCGTTTCATCTGTTCCTGTGGTTCAAGTTATATGGGGTGTACGACTAGGCATGTTCGTTCATGGCTTTGAGAACATGTAACAGTTTGGTTCAGCAAGAGGGAAATTAAGTGCATGAAAACCTTGATTCTGTCACACAGAGTCGATTCTGGACATAGCATCGACGCCAACACAGCCTTCAGGGCCATATAGCAAATTCCGTGGTCGTTATCACGTACAGTTTGCTTAAGTCTGCTACACATAGCTGAAGCTGTTGCAATAAGATCGATTAAACCGGAACTTTGTATCCAAAAAGAACACGGCCAAACGCTTTTCCAATCGTGGCATAAATTGGATTGACGATTCTTCTTCTCACCAAGAGTGCTTATTACTCTTAACCCTCTCGGTTTTTTTTCTTTGCTTATTATTATAGTTATTATTATTCGTCATAACTTAAACCCTTTATCCAAGCATTCTCTCAGTACTATCGAATTTCGCATTTATGCCACCTGGACTTGTTATTAGTAATATTATCTCTTTTCTCAATATATGCCTCGACCTGTCTCATTTCACATATTGGTCATTTAATGATAAACTTCTCATTGCAGTCTTACTACCTCCTGTTTAACACAGACCACTTTGTACTAGCCATTCACTCATCTGACACCTTTTATAACCTTGAACTGACTGGTCAATTTTCCTACCTCACATTCTACAAATCTATTATGACTAATCGCCAACATTATCATTCAGTTAAATTTGAGATTTTCCCGTCGATTGATTGGACCGAAGTGCTCGGTATCAGGCTGACATGTCGGCTTCTTGTGCAGATGCTTCGATGATGTCTGGGCATGTAACTAGAATTTAATTGGTATATGGTGACTGGCAGTAGAATCCAGGATGCGCATTTCGTCCTATTTGAGACTCGTCAATTGGATGCGACCTGCATTCCCCAGTGAGTGATGATGCTTGAAACTATGGCCACTGCGTTCGAGCCTCGGTGGGAACATCATCACTCACTGAGAAATGCAGGTACATCCAGATGACGAGTCCCAAAGTGGACGAAATCCGCATCCTGGATTCCACTGCTAGTCACCATCTATCAATTAAACACCATCATTATCTCCTATTTCACAATATCTTGTAATTAATTTCAACCCTAGCACGACGTTCGTCACATAAATACGACTATTTATTTTGACACCCCATAACTGATCTGTTATTCTACGTTAAAAATGTATCCACCGCATAACTGGCCATTATTGTAACTCCTACAGATATTATATTTTATAGTTTTAACTTTAAAACTAAGATTTATTTATATGAATTGTGATCAAGATTTGACCAAATAATTTTTGTCTAATTTGTCTAATTTTTTTAAATTTTATTTTTGATCACAGTTTGATTCCACAATGTATAATTTTGGTACAAGTGTGGAATTTTCAGCATGGAATATTGGTAGCCCGAATTTCGCAGGCCGACCATAGATATCAGATGTGCGTCAGTTGGGGATGGAACCTCGGACCATGTGTATGGTCGGCGAAATTCCTAACTACTGTGCCACCGATGCACAAAATAATTGGGTGCCGAGTGAGAAGTAGACATTTGTAAAATATCAGCCAAAATGAAATAAGTAATTCTAACGTTTCGTTCAGCAAACTGGTCCAAACCTCTGTTATGTCAATTTTGATTAATTTCCTGAAGAAGTTCGGACCAGTTTGCCGAACGCATGAAATGTTGGAATTACTCATTTCAATTTGCTTTTCACTTCATAACTGTGGTCCTAACCCCCCTTCCTTAAACATTCTGATTCCTCATACCCTACATAAATATGTACTATAGGTGCATGCAGGATCAAAGCTCAAAATGTGTTGCCTATATACATACATATTTCACATGAATTAAGCCTTCTTAAGACATTCTCGAAATCTACATATGTATAAAATGGCTTTTTCCAACATGCGTTCATGCCTAACATCCAAATAGGAATTAGTAGTTTAATTCGGCATTCAATATGATGAACACAAATGAAGCAGCATTCAGTTCTTGTTGAAATAATACAACATGCATTCATGCTAATTTTATTATAAGTAGTATAAAATTGTTTCCGAAAAATTAACGCGTTTACAAACAAACATTTCTTGATTTTGAATAAAGAAAGAATTCGAAGGGTGTGTGTGTGTGTGAAATTTTAGGTATCGTTGGGTGTGCTGAGAATGTTCAGTCGATTGCAGTGTTCAACGGATTTTAGTAAGGATAGATGGAGTACTGGACAGCCAGTTCGTTCTAGGTTGGGGCTCTCTAGTAATGAACACTCATCACTCCATTAGGGATCAAATCAAGAATCTTCAGGTTACGTTGGCAAGACTATTCAGCCTCCTTTTTTCCAGATGTATTCACGTATAATCATAATTCATCTTACAGGCTTTTGATGTGGTTGTGTTCTCTGAGCTGGATAGTTAATTTGCGAAATTTCATCATAAGACATATACCCCCATGCCAACCTATCAAACCAAAAGCCCCCGAGTAAAGCACAAAGAAAATCGCCTTACCATATATAAAGGATATCTCAGAAGTCACTACGAGACTCATCAAAACTCTAGGAGTTGACGTCGTACACAAACCAACAAAGTCACTTCAATCAATTCAATGTCAACCAAAAGACTCAACAGCGAAAGAAGGTAAAACCAACATCATCTACAAAATAAATTGTAACAACTGCGAAAAACACTACATTGGCCAAAGTGGACGTCCCCTTCGTCTTTGTATCCACGAACATAAGCTAACCGTCAAAAGACATGATATCCATTCCCTCATATCACTACATACAGACAACCACGGATATCAATTCGACTGGGACAACAAGCATTCAAATATCGGACAGAGGAAACACCAAGAATGCTAGAGAAATTTTGGAAGCCTATGGTTCAAGTGAGTTATCAATCAATAGACACACACAAAGGGTCAAAGTTCAAGTCAAAGAAATAACCAATTCCAATACAAATAGTCTACAAGGTGTGAAAACACACAAAAACAACCAACCACGTCCAAGATCACCAGGAGTGATGATTAATAAACTCGTGGAGAAATCTAAAAACTGACTTCAAATTGAAGTATGCGCTAAAGATGTCGCCTAGTAGGGCGATGAAAGCTTCGCAAATGAACTATCCAGCTCAGAGAATACAACCACAAATCTTCTGTATCATATCTTATAGGCTTGCTAAACACATTCCCATCTTTCTCCGTCCTCTTAAAAAATCCTGTTAAAAACAAGAGCTTCCGTAAAAGTGACTAATCTGTATGTGAGAAAAACGCAATACGTCAGCCACTTGTATGAATATTATAATACTTTGTTAATAATTAAACAATCATATAACTCATTATACCTACTCTTGCTGTTATTATTATTAGTTGCGGACAGATATGTACTTCTTCTAGGTTGACTGTTATCTATATCGTTGACCTCTCTTGACCTCTGTCTATCATAAGGTGAAATTGCTCGATTATGTGAATGGGCACGTGTTGGCTTGTTTGACTGTTGATTTTGTGTATAGCCATGATTACCTGCTCCGCTGCCGCCGCCGCCGCCGGCTATTGTCGCTTCATTTGTTTTATCATGATATCGTGTACCAGGTGATGTAAGCAAAGGTTCACCGCTTACCGTGGTTATCACTGTTGAACTACGTGGTAGTCTATAGTTGATAAGATATTCATCAGTATTATTGTTAATATTATCATCCATTCCACGGTAACCGTAGGCATTCCCATTCTCATTATCATCATAACCATCATCATCATCGTCACGAGGAGAGTCTTTATGATCTTCAGTTGGTTCAACGCTAGCAGCTCCTCGACGTATTATTGCACGTGTTCCTTTATTTATTTGGAATGTAAATATATACACACAGAGAATTATTTTAGACAAAAATAAACAAACAAAAAAATCAGAAAACATGCAAATAAGATGACTAATAATAATAATGAAGTTTACCTGGTAATATATGAGTTATACTACTCTAAAAGGCAGTCTCATTTCAATTGAGAAAATGGTTGTTATTACCGAGATGGATACATGCCTGATACACAATACTTATGCATGACAAAAACTTTTATTTGTTTAAATGGAAATGTCTGCGACTGATGACATGCAAATGAAAAATTGAAACTTGTATTAGGAGTTGATCACGGATTGATATCAGTTAGAGAACCATTGAAAACCATCTGGGAGTACTGGATGGAATTTGTTGGAGTTCTAGTGAGAAGTCATGATCAGTAAGGTTCATGGCATGCGTGAGGATGGATGTCCCACCTACGACAATGGTTGGGGTCACGCTAAATCACGCTAAATTGGTAGAAGTTGGAACTCGTGAGCCATTGAATCGGGTCCCAGTGGCTGAATTGTAACCAGAAGGCCCTGGGTTCGAACCGCGCAGTGTGAGTACGTACTGCCAATGACTCTCAAACTAGGATGAAACAGCAGCTGTTCAGTACTCCCCCACTGGTTTTCAATGGTTCCCTAACTGATATCAATCCGAGATCAACACGTAGGAAGAAAAGTAACTCTTACAAACCAAACTGTAGAAAAAAACTTGTATTAGTTAGTCACTAGAATGGACAAATATATCAGGCATGTTATTGTCAAGAGAGTGAATTTAGTAAATTAAAAATCCTCAAAGTTTAATCAGAATAGGACAAATTTTTTAGCGGAAAGTTGTTTTTGTCAACTTCTTCCGCAGGCCCTACAATTATAAATCTCAAAATATTTGAATATAATATCAGAAACTGTATTAGGGTTTATGTTTAAAATGGAATTACAGTCCGTTAGTTAATATTGTCAATTGAATGTATATAAAATGTACAGTCATTCAGAACACAAGATAAGGTGTGAATATCAGATCAATTTTCAAGTATTGATTTGTAGGGATTTTGTTATGACATTGGTTAGAGAACCATTGAAAATCAAAAGGGATCACTGAACCTATTCAGGCAGTTACCCGAGATTCTCGTGGGAAGCAGTGACCAGTAGGGTACATCAGGTCAAAGATGAGGATGGTCACTCATCGAAGAAGATACTGCGAATTGGTCGGGCAATGTCGTAAATTGGTAGAAGTTAAAATTCATGGGCTGGCCATTGGATCGGATCCGAGTGGCTGAATGGTCTACGAGCTCGCTAGCTTTGTGAACATAAGGTGCTGGTTTCGAACCCTGTTAGGTGCGTACCAGTGAAGAGTCCCAAACTAGGGCGAAGCAGCTATCCAGTGCTCGCTGCAGGTTTCCCAATGATTCTCTAACAAAAGTCCACTCATGATGAAATCCTTCAAACCAGTACACAAAATGTGTGAACTGGTAACTGGGTTACATACTACTATATTTCTAGTCAACAGAATATAAGTTTCATTGGGGTTGGGTGTGAGTGACATTCAGTGGTGTGTGAGAGAGATATGAATACCGTAAAATACATACGTACAATTTCCAACAAATAAGGAACACTGAATGTAAGTTCAAGCAAAGGCTGGCAGATATCAAGTGTAGTGATAAAATAAAGAGATTAATTTGTGAACTGTAATAAAATTCTAGAGACATGATAAACTTAGTGTAAATTACGGAGGGTTGACACACAATAAGAACAGAAATGGATTAAAGTAAGCCAGGCAATAATATGACATGAAAATATTCGTGATTATGTCGCTGAAGTCCTTATATAAGGCGAAGGTAAACAAAAAGGATGAATGTACCTTTTGCACTGTATGACTTACGCATTGATATATTTCGGTTTATTAAAGTATGAATACTAAGTACTTCTCCATTTCATCATGTTCTCTGTAGATCTCTTTCGTTAAATGGCCCTACGTGGCCCTACGATTGCCTATAAGCTGCTGTCTCCTCCTCATATGATCTCTTGCATTTTACACTAGAATCGACGTCCAACTGGTTCTTTCTCATTCGCGTTACACTTGAGGGATTCTCAACATTTTTCCTTCAGCATTCTGATCGGAGACTTGGCCAACGCGTCATAAAGAGCATCTCAAACAAACTACACACCTTCATTAACAGTTGTCTTCGCTCAATCCCACTCAAGATCAGATGGCCGGCCAGAAAAGATCAGCAACAGAGGGGGATCTCTGGGAGCAAACCAACTCAGCAGGAGCCAATTGTGAAACAAATAGGCAGGAAGAAATGGAGATGGATTGTATTGGTCATACTCTGAAGAAAACACCAAGTGACATCACCAGACAAGCCATCTATCGAGAGGAACCCGTAAGGGAATCGGCGAGTTGGTAGTCATTGCAAGGGTGACTTGGAGGAGGTCATGTGAAGAGGAGATGAAAGCATGTGGACAGACTTGGAATGGGGTGAAAAAGTTGGCAGAAAACCGAACGCAATGGAGACTCGTGGCTGAAGCCCTATGTTCCTCTAGGAATTAAAGGATATAATAATAATAATAAATAATACTTGTTGAGCAATAGGTTCTTGATCGGTCGGCATTCAGAGTTTTCTGTTGTTTATCCTTTCTAATCGGCCATCTGATCTTCACCTTGAAGCCAATGAAGGTAGTTGCTGATAAAGTCTATAGTAGCTTTTTGGAAATGTTGTCCGTGACGCGCCATGTATCCGAACTATATAGAAGTAGTGATGTGACGTAAGTAGTGAAAATTTAAATCTTCTCATTTATCCTGATGTCAGAGAAATGAAGGTCTTTCAAAAACTTTTCTGATCTTGTCTTTGATATCCTCATTCCTGTTGCCTTTAGCCGAAATGAAGCTAATCAAATGAGTGAAGTAATTGGCTTCGTTCAGATGTTTTTCCTTTGACAGTGGCTGATGTTGGCTAGTTATCTCGACCACCATTTTCTTCTTTGTGTTCACCTGAAGTCCTATCTTTCTGTTTAGATATGATAGAGAAGATTTGTAGCTCAGCTGGATAATTTTGATGTGGTTTTGTTCTCTGAGCTGGATGGTTAGTTTGCGAAGCTTTCATCACCTTACTGGGTGACATCTTCAGCGCATACTTCAAATTGAAGTGAGCTTTTAGGTTTCTCCACGAGTTTATTAATCATTCCTCCTGGTGACCTTGGACGTGATTGGTTGTTTATGTGTGTTTTCACACCTTCTAGGTTATTTGTGTTGGAACTGATTGTTTCTGTGACTTGAACTTTGACCCATCGTGTGTGAAGTTTCTTTCTTATTGGTTGATAAATTTTGTCTATCTCGATGTGTCTATTGATTGATGATTCACTGGAATGCCAAGCTTCTAAAAATTCTCTAGCATTCTTGTTATTTCCTTTGTCTAATATTTGAACGTCGTCCCAGTCGAATTGATGTCCATGGTTGTCTGTGTGTAGTGAAATGAGGGAGTGGATATCATGTCTTTTGACGGCTAGCTTATGTTCGTGGATACGAAGACGAAGGGGACGTCCACTTTGGCCAATGTAGTGTTTTTCACAGTTGTTACAGTTTATTTTGTAGATGACGTCGTACACAAACCAACAAAGTCGCTGCACTCAATTCTATGTCAACCAAAAGACTCAAAAGCAAAAGAAGACAAAACCAACATCATCTACTAAATAAACTGTAACAACTGTGAAAAACACTACATTGGCCAATGTGGACGTCCCCTTCGTCTTCGTATCCACGAACATAAGCTAGCCGTCAAAAGACATGATATCCACTCCCTCATTTCACTACACACAGACAACCATGGACATCAATTCGACTGGGACGACGTTCAAATATTAGACAAAGGAAATAACAAGAATGCTAGAGAATTTTTAGAAGCTTGGCATTCCAGTGAATCATCAATCAATAGACACATCGAGATAGACAAAATTTATCAACCAATAAGAAAGAAACTTCACACACGATGGGTCAAAGTTCAAGTCACAGAAACAATCAGTTCCAACACAAATAACCTAGAAGGTGTGAAAACACACATAAACAACCAATCACGTCCAAGGTCACCAGGAGGAATGATTAATAAACTTGTGGAGAAACCTAAAAGCTCACTTCAATTTGAAGTATGCGCTGAAGATGTCACCCAGTAAGGTGATGAAAGCTTCGCAAACTAACCATCCAGCTCAGAGAACAAAACCACATCAAAATCTTTCTGTTTTGCTAACTTACTGGTTTTCGATTTTAGGTCTTTGAATTCGTGCGACTTTAGACACAAATCATCCACAAAATCCAAATCTTCTGAAGTCTTCTTTTTGGGTTCATCATACGCCTGTCTTCTAGTTCCTTACGGTTGCACAAACATCTAGATGCTAAACAAAGTACTGAACGCTAATCAATTCCGAAGAAAATTAGAAAGATACTGGATTTTTTTCCGGTGGGCATCATTCTCCCCCTGCTAAGTGGCAATCTTTCATTAATAAAACTTAATTTGATTTATCTACTATAATAGAGTATTAAGGTAAGTTATCTTCAAAACACCATACCATGGAATCTTCGCCCAATGAACACAGACAGACTTCATGAAAGATATTGCGTGACATTTGCATGCATTCTTAGACATGCAGATAACTAATCGAACAAAAAACTGAATACTTCAGCATCTCAACATGCATTTTTATTACATTAGTATTTCAGTTTTGCTACAGGATAATGTATACAACTGGTTAATATGGGCAATTGAATACCCCTCGTATTAACCAGTCAAGCAGGTTGCAGAAAAGATCTGAACATCGGATGGATATTTTACTCGGTCATACTCGAGCTCATTGACAGTGTACTCGATTTGACTCAGCCGAGAGAGAGAGAGATAATACACTTCAGCTCCCACCCCTAATTCTGGCTAACCACTTGAAAAAAAATGGCAGTGCATGGAAGCAAATTGATTTTCCCTTCTAAATTAAACAAGAAGGCGCATTACAAATA